CTAAACATAGCAACCACTCTGCCATAGCAACCACAGGTCTAAACTTAGCAACCACTCTGCCATAGCAACCACAGGTCTAAACATAGCAACCACAGGTCTAAACATAGCAACCACCCTACCATAGCAGCCACAGGTCTAAGCATAGCAACCACTCTGCCATAGCAACCACAGGTGTAAACATAGCAACTACTCTGCCATAGCAACTACAGGTCTAAACATAGCAACCACTCTGCCATACACCTCCAAACATAAGACATGGACAACTGTACGACAGCACACTTACTTCATATCTATATATGCTTTTATACATATGAACATATATACCATATATATAAATACTTGTATACATATGAACATATATATTATATCTATAAATACTTGTATACATAAGAACATATATACCATATATATATATGCTTTTATACATATGAACATATATGCTATATCTATACATACTTTTATACCTACGAACATATATACCATATCTATATATACTTGTATACATATGAACATATATACCATATCTATATATACATATAATGCATAGGAATATGTATACCATATCCATATATACTTATGTACCTATGAACATGTGTATCGTAAGCACTCGATGGAGCGTCCGAATGACGGGCGGGACAAGAGTTAATGTGACTCCAATTCGATGCGGAGACTTGCACGGTAGCTAGACATACTAAACGATATACACATAACCCTATGGACATGTATACCATATCTATATATTCTCAAACGATATACACATAACCCTATGAACACTTAACCCATATCTGTTCATACTCAAACGATATACACACAATCCTATGAACACGTAACCCATATATATACATACTCAAACGATATACACATAACCCTATGAACACGTAACCCATATCTATACATACTCAAACGATAAACACACAAACTGATTTACATGTAACCCATATTTATACATACTCCAACGATATACACATAAACCTATGAACACTTAACCCATATCTATTCATACTCAAACAATATACACATAATCCTATGAACACGTAACCCATATCTATACATACTCAAACGATATACACATAACCCTATGAACACGTAACCCATATCTATACATACTCAAACGATATACACATAACCCTATGAACACGTAACCCATATCTATACATACTCAAACGATATACACCTACCCACACACTAGACGTGATACGCCTAGTCATCACCCCCAAACCCCAAACCCCACAGGTGTGCCGGCAAGATACCTACAGTGTTCATGCGCATGTCGTACGCTGTGAGATGGGTGCTGGAGTTCATTGCCTCACCCCCCGCCAAACAAAGCAACACCACGGTTGTCGTGAGTGATGTGAAAACGTACCGTATAGCCAGCCCAACGGTTGCAAGGTGAGTCACCAGACTATAAGACTGTGGTGGTTGGTGATAGTTGCAGTACTAGTGTACAATCAACTGCTGAATTGATAGCCAAGTGGTTGTACGTCGTGTAGTCAGTTCTCAGCGGTAAAAGAAAGTGCACCTCTACAGGTGGCTATTTTTGCCTATATGCACGTACAAACGCACGACTCTTGAAGCCGTA